ATACACACACATATATATAAAAAGATATATATATATATCTTCCTGATGGCAACCCGCCAGAGCGCTGTAGGCTTCCAGGGATTGCTGCCTTCAGAGTCGCTGTGATCATCTAAATACCAGTGCAGAAGACCACACCATGACCTCACTGAATTGCATTAGATGGGAATGTCAATATATGCAATTAACTAACTATTGACCTTTAGTCCTGAGCTATTTTAGGCAACCAGTCTGGCTGTGCAGGGTAACTCACTAGCACATAGCTCCAAGGCTTGTCATTGGGGGTGATATTCTTCCATGTGAAGGGCATGAAAGTCCACAGAGATTCAGTAAGTGATTCTGGGGTTAGAATGGTTGAATTCAGGCTGTCAAGGCTTGGGCTACCCATCACATAATGAGCATGGCAGAAACCTCCTATGACAAGGAGTGCTTTAAAACCTACTGTTGCTGTCACCATTGTAAGTAGCCAGCCAACCAAAGGTGCTGCTACTTGGGAGGCTGCTGCTGTGCCATTGAGGATGGTGTGTGTGCCAGAAGCTACAGAGTGGTGAAGGCTTTGATTGCTTCTTTTCCCAGCCTCTTCCCAGCTGAGCCTTGCATAGGAGCAACATCAGACCTCCAAGCTAGCTGGACCCACCTCTCTGTTGCATTCACCCACCACATTGTCTTTTCTTTGCCCTGTTCTGGCCCAGGGCTGCCAGTGTTTCTCCTTTTCTGTGGCACCTCTCTGCCTGATAGCTGCTTATCTGAGTTAGTAAACCCAGGCGAGCTGTGTAGACTGGTGAGTGTCAGCTGCATGCACTTCTGCTTCTAGGACTGGCAGAACTTCTCGGGCTCTTGGCAGCAGCTTGCATTTTACTGTGCTCTTGTCAGTGAGTTGTGCGTCCCCATTAGAGGCTCATTGCTCTAATTGACTGGTGTTCCTCCAGCAGCTGAAGGTAGGGAAGTGACTGGTATTAAACAAGCTCAGTAAAAGAAGTGGTTAGTTTTACCTTACCTCACTATCCTAATCTGATTTGCAATGCAGCTGCATAAATAGTTTCACGAGTGAAAAGCGTGGGAGGAAAGGAGGGTGGACTGAGATGCTGGAGGCTCATTGAACCATGGCTTTTGGTGGTAGCCACAGCTTATGTTAACTTAAACTGAGGGTGGGGCGTAACTTCCTCCACTGTTTCGTTGTTCTTTTGTAGTGCCTTTTCCAAATGTGTTAACTTCTGTTCATATTTTGGTTGCATTTGCATTATGGATGAAGATGGAGCAAAGGATCCTCCTGTTTTGAAGCAGGAAGATAGGAGGAAAAGGCAATGTGCCTCAGATGTTGGGGTTTTGTAAGCTGTCCTGAACAGTGCTGGCATCTAGAAACAGACTAGTAAGCTTGAAATGCAAATGAAATTCCACAGTTTCTTGTTTGTCCCAGCCTTTTGATTTCCCAAGTGGCAAGACTTTGATCTTGTCTTGGTGCCAGGCAATTGGATCAAGAAACTAGTGGCATGGTTTCAGAGGGGAAATTTTGGATCATTAGACTGTCACGTCATATATACTATTGTCTGGGGTTTTTTTAAAGCTTCATTGCTAAAGTGAAGAAGTAGAAAGGCTGGATTCATTCTAAGCAGGTTACCTTCTGTGATTTGCTCATAACATAAAACCTAAGACAGATTTATTAATTGATTTGTAACTTCTGTTCCAACAATATATGGCTCTGTTACCATGACAGAATGCAACATGCTGTTTTACTAGTTCAATATTTTGTTTTCAGAAAATTGTTAAATATGTCTTTTTAAATAATTCATTATTTAAGTCTTATTAATTTTCATTTGCATAATTATAGCAGCAGATTATAGGGTGTCAGGTCTTTCACTAACTGGTCGGTCTTTCTTTAAAAAATGTAATTACTGCATAAACTCTTTTTAAAAGATAAGATTTGAGTTCAGTGATGTACCTTCTTTTAGGAGAGGTTAAGCATCAAACAGAGAGCAAATTTCCAAGTAATACCTGAATTCACCTTACGGTATGATCAGCATCCTATATTATTAGCATCTGCAAGTGGTGTAAAATGTAAAGACTCATAGTTTCCAGGACAAAGCCAATAATTGATCTTTAAGTCTTTAATGTATTTTGTCACAGTCATAACATAGTTCAGTTTGCTTTCTGGCTCAAGGTTATTCTCTTGGGTTTTTTTATTCTATACATGTACCTAGCTGAGTGGGATGGGAATTAAGTTACAGTGCCTTGCTACGGATCAAGAGGTGTGTGAGTTTGCCCCTGACTCTTGCAGACCCAGCTGTAAACGGATACCTGTTTTTTCAGGCTTGGTGCACCTGAGACATCCCAATGTGAGGCCAAATACATTGCTCTCTGTAGTGCTGCTGGCTAAAGGAAAAAACCTTAACAGATGAGTCCTGTAATATGAAAAATGATAGTAGTATCTGTATTTATAAAGTCGCATGTGTATCCTAGTATACTCATCTTCTCTCAAAAAGAAGAGTATATTGCGTGACAAGGAACCTTGCTTTTGGTATGAGAGTGTAAAAGCCTGCAGCAGCCTTTTTTAAATATACCATAGGGGCTTTTAGTAAATAGAGTATAATATAAGTATAGAATGGAAGAGTACTGAGACAGATAGAGCGTGTGTGTGTGTTGCACCATGACCAAAGATCATCCAAGCAGTGATGGCTGAGCTAGCTCTGGCGTCTCAAGCTGAAGTACTGGGCTGGGCACAGCATGCTTTTGTGGCAACACACCTTCCATGACCTGAAGTCTGTCCTACTCTGGCTTTGTACACTTGCCTGGCCCAGGTCTGTGCTGGCTGTGCTCGTTTTTGTGCAGCCCAGTGTGGTGTTGACACCTCTGTTGTTGTGCTGGTTGCTTCGTTCCTTCCTGGGTTTCAGGCTTTGCTTTGCAGATCAAAAGAGCTGTATACCTTTGTTTGAATTTTGAAATTTGAGCAGTGTTTTGCGGCAGTGGATGAGTGGCACAGCCTGTCCAGAAGCTGTGGAACATGGGAGATCCAGGTTTAAAGACTCTCTATTACAAAGTTAGCAATGGAAGTCTCCTCCTTGTCAAAGCTTCTAGGAAGAGTTGAGAGGTTTCTGTTAGTGACCCACAGAATATAGCGGCAGAAAAAGCCTATCATAATAGCCCATTGAGTCCCAACTCTGAGACAATGATTGTTCTTGCTAGATTGATTTTAGAGGCTTGTCTGTTAAGTGTTAAATATGCCAAAAGCTTAGCTTTGTTTTTTGTGGTGGCCTACCAGAGCCGCTCTATCACTCCCCTCATTCACTAGAAAGGGGAGAAAAGGTATAATGAAAAGCTTGTGGGTCGAGATAAGGATAGGGAGAGATCACTCACTAATTATTGTCACAAGCAAAACAGAGTAGAGGAATGAGAAATAAAATCAAATCTTAAAACACCTGCCCCCACCCCTTCCATCTTCCCAGGCTCAACTTCACTCCCAGCTTCAACCTCCGCCCCCCCAGCAGCACAGGGGGATGGGGAATGGGGGTTATGGTCAGTTCATCACACATTGTTTCTGCCGCTTCTTCATCCTCAGGGGGAGGACCTCTCTCATCATTCCCCTGGTCCAGCATGGAGTCCCTCTCACAGGAGACAGTCCTTCATGAACTTCTCCAACGTGAGTCTCTCCCACGGGCTACAGTCCTTCATGAACTGCTCCAGTGTGGGTCTCTCCCATGGGGTGCAGACCTTCAGGAGCAAACTGCCCCACCGTGGGGTCCCCCACGGGGTCACAAGTCCTGCCAGAAAACCTGCTCCGGCATGGGCTTCTCTCTGCACGGGTCCACAGGTCCGGCCAGGAGCTTGCTCCAGTGTGGGCTTCCCACGGGGCCGCAGCCTCCTTCAGGTGTCTA